AGCTCCGTTCTCCTGTGCAGGGCAACCAAAGGAGACCCAGCCAATCAAGTGGGACTCAATGGGAGGTGGAGAAGAGAAGAGAAGGGGTTGGTGGGGCCAGTCAGAGGTGAGATTGGCCAGTTCTCTAAATGACTCAAAATTTCCACTCCCAGTTCTCCAGAATCAGTTAGAACTGGCTGAATCCCACCTCTGGTGTGGAGTTGGGGAGTTTGGTCAGGCTGGCTCTCCTAACATGCTGTTTTTCAAACTTGACACCTTCAAGAGGTGTCAACTTCAACTCCTAGAAGTCAAAACAAATAAGTCCATGCAAAGCTGGCTGGGGAATTCTGGGAGTTGAAGTGGTTTTCTTTAATGAAAAAAAGGGATCAGGGGTGACAGGATAGCAGTCTTCTAATATTTGAGGGGCTGCCCCAAAGAAGAGGGAGTCAACTTATTATCCAAGGCACCTGAAGGCAGGACAAGAAGCCACGGGTGGAAACTAATCAAGGAGAGAAGCAACCTAGAACCAAGGAGAAATTTCCTGACAGGGAGAACAATTCACCAGTGGAGCAATTGGCCTCCAGAAGTTGTAAATGCTCCAACAGTGGAATCCTTCGAGAAGAGACCGTACAACCATTTGTATGAAAGGGGGTTGATTAGAAGCCCTTCAAGGTCGCTTCCAACCCCATTATTCCGTTAGTCTATTAAGACCGCTCTTCTTCCAGGAGTCAAAGTTGAGAAATATCGCTCTAATACCAGTACGTGGAAATCTTCCTTTCCAAAGTCTCTGTGCTGCAATTAATTAGGTCTTCAAGTGCTAGAGAAGGGCGGCATATTGTATGATGTTTGATCTTGGAAACGGGTCCTCCCCCGCAAGCTTGAGAAAGATTTATACCGTCTCCAGAGAAATCAAGAGTTATAAGCTTGCATCGGAGAAGAAGATCCTATTTCCCAGGAAGTCGGTGCCTTTAATAATCGGCAGAAAAGAGCCAAAGTGAGAATGTCTCCAGGCACAGCAGCTCTTTGTAGGTCTTGAGGAGAAAGTCAGCACCATGAAAACTGTGGTGGGGGCGGTGGGGTGTGTGTGTGTGGAGAGACGTCACTCATTCAAAACCTAAGGACTTTCTCTCCTCCTGGGTGGAGAAATCCAAGTTTAGCCTCTGTTATGGGAGTTTCTATGCTAAACAGAATGTCAGGGGGATTAAATGACCGGAGCGGAAAAGCAGAACTGGATGGCTTGCCTTGCACAATTGGGCTTTCAACTCATTCACGTGCCTTACTCCGTGGTTCGTGCTGGAACCAGTTAGCTTTGAACATTCTCGGGGCTTTGAGAAATCCTCTTCGCCCCTCCGGCACAGAAATATGCTTCTTGGTTTCTGTCGTTCTGTTCTGCCAGACAAAAAACATCCCTCCTATTTTCTTCCGTTAGTCCAATTGTGCGCCTTCTTTCTCATCTTCAGATCCCCGCAAATGGTATGGATGGGTCCTTCTTAGGTTGGATGTGGAATCTTGCAACTGTTTTCTGCGGGTTGTTTTGCCGTGTGACATGCAGACTCTTCATCTGGCAACCTTTCCCTTCCTTTTCTTCTCTCTTGCCTCTCTCTAATTTGCTCCTTTCTCTTTCCCTTTCCTCTTCCCCTTCCTTCCTTCCTTCCTCCCTCCCTCCCTCCCCCTCCATCCTTCCTTCTTTCTTTCCTTCCTTCTTCCCTCCCTCCCTTCTTCTCTCCACCCATCCTTCCTTCCTTCCTTCTTTCCTTCCTCCCTCCCCCTCCATCCTTCCTTCTGTCCTTCCTTCCTTCTTTCTTTCCTTCCTTCTTCCCTCCCTCCCTTCTTCTCTCCACCCACCCATCCTTCCTTCCTCCTTCCTTTCCTTCCACCCTCCCTTCCTTTCTCACATACTCCATCCTTCTCACTAACCACCCATCTCCATGGTTTGGCTCCTCATGGGTAGTTTGGACCACCGTTGAGGAGCCTGTTGAGGAGCCTGAAGATCCTACCGCAGTCCATTCTTACTAGGTTCCCAACATAAATAAGAGATGTCCACGCATAAAAGAAAAGAGAGCAATTCTGTAGTATGTTCAGTTAAGTTGGTTGTTGGTCAAAACCAAAGGTTTGGAACATCTAAATTTGTGAGGGAGAGGGCAGGTAGACAGGTTGGCTTGGGGAAGGTCTTCAAAACATGTCTTCTTCCTGTTGCTTAGAGTGGGAAGGATTTCCACTCAGCCGTCTATCCCCAAACCAAGCGAAAATGGCAAAAGTTCTTCATTTTTCAGACTCAACACACCTCCACATGTCCTCTAAGGAAGGTCTTCTTCCTCAAAGCTTGCCCCCCCCCCCCACACACACACACCGTCCCTTTTGCATGTGCGATTCCGGATGTGCAAAACCCCTGAGAAGAACACAAGAAATCTGCCATAAAATTCTTGAACACTCCAAGGCTGAGAATCAATTTGATGTCAGGCTCATTTTAAATAATTGTACTTGCTTTGTTGAGCGGCTCAACATTCAACGCTCCGGGAGCAAAGCTTTGCCTCTCCTTTGATTGAATTCTCCTCCTTTTCCAGCCACAACTGCTCCCTGCAGTTTGAAAAGCCTTTCAGACGGCTGTGACTCTTCAAATGCCATCTTTGGCATTTGCCCTGAACTTTCATTTCTTTGTGTTAGGGGAGCAATGCTGGAACCGTTACCAAGGATGATAATCTCCTTTCTGATTTCTGTTCTTCTTGTTGAAAATAATCCATTGCCTGTAGTAGCCTTTGCTTGGTATCTGCCATAAACATCTGCATATGATATTCCAGTAGGTTATTGATTAATCACTCTTACGGAGAATGGATCGGGTGGAAATTGACCCTGTTAAAAAAAGAAAGAACATTCCAACCCCTAAAACACATCCCTGGATTACCAAAACCAAGGGACTGGGTATGTCTAGTTTAATGAAAAGAAGGACTGGGGGTGCATGACAGCAGTCTTCCAATATCTCAGGGGCTTCCCCAAAGAAGAGGGAATCGAGCTATTCTCCAAAGCACCTGAGGGCAGGACAAGAAGCAATGGGTGGAAACTAATCAAGGAGAGAAGCAACCTAG